ATGACAAAATTTGTATTCTATAGCGTATATATTTACCCCTGAATGACATAGACCGAAGAAGTTGATATTATATCCAAGAGGAGTGGTTGACCTTTAAATTAATACCAATTATATTGTTGTATGTGCTCGGATGTGTGAGTTACACCAAAATATTTACAGGTATCTCCGTATCCGTATAATATTTAGTAACTCATTATCACTCTAGAGCGCGGAACTATAGCGCTGATCGCTTTGAAATGTTCCATAAGGTTCCAGTTATGGTCAAGGACAACGCCTATAATTTTCGGCGATGATCAGATAATAATTTTGGAATGAAGTGGGCCGAAAACTTAATTTTTTGTGTTATTTTCGAGTCGATATATAGACCACAAATGAAAGCCGAATATCACAACAAAACCCACGGTGAAGGGAATGTGGACAATAGCTGTACTGAATACTCGTAATATTCGGAAAATATGTCAGTGTGAGGAAGAGGTGGTGTTTACCTCTAATCGGGCATGAGGATGCCAATATCACGCAATATTGCCCAGGCTCGGTATAAACATCCGCAGAAAATTTGAGTTCCGTGGTAGTTGTGTAGGGTATCGTATGGTCGGCCCCGTCCGACTATACTGCTCCGCTCACTGTTTTTTTTTAAATATTTTTGGAGTCTAAATTTCTCTACGTCGAGTTATGCATGTCCGTCCATGTTAAATTGTAAACAAAGTACAGGTCGCATTTATGCTCCGAATTTGATGAAATTTGGCACAGCTCATCTGTTTGGCCCAAGGACGAACACTATTGAAAAAGGGAAAATAGGTTCAGATTTAGATATAGCTTCCATATATATTTTCGTCCGATTTAAGGTAAATGGTACACCATAGTACCTATATATCTTTCGATTTGCCCAAAATTTGGCATATCGTACTAAATAAAGTCTAGAGTGATGTGTGTTAAGTTTCGTGAAAATCGGTTCAGATTTGGATATAGCTCCCAGATATATTTTCGTCCGATTCAAGGTAAATGGTACACAAAAGTCCCTATATATCCTTCGATTTACAAGAAATTTTGCATAGCGTACTAAATTAAGTCTAGAATGATGTGTGTAAAATTTCTTGAAAATCAGTTCAGATTTAGATATAGCTTCCATATATATTTTCGTCCGATTTTAGGTAAATGGTGTACTAAATTCCCTATATATCTTTCGATTTGCCAAAAAGTTGGCACAGCGTACTTAATGAAGTCAAGAATGATGTGTGTTAAGTTTCGTGAAAATCAGTTCGGATTTAGATATAGCTTCCATTTATATGTTCGACCGATTTAATGTAAATGGTGTACCAAAGTCCCTATATATCCTTCGATTTACACGAAATTTGGCAAAGCGCACTTAATTGAGTCTAGAATGATGTGTGTAAAATTTCGTGAAAGTCGGTTCAGATTTAGATATAGCTTCCATATATATGTTCGTCCGATTTTATGTAAATGGTGTACCAAAGTCCCTATATATATTTTCATTTGTATTCTTAAAAAATCCACGCCTTCTTTTGTGCCCTAATGTTCGCTTGGCACAAAATTCTCGGCAGAGGTAACTTCAAATTTTCTTTTTTTGTTTCGTCCAAAAAAACAAATTTTTGTTTGCCTTTCCTTGTTTACCTGGACCCGGTTTCATTTGTTATTAATTGAAAATATATACAGATATTCGTCAGATATAAAAAAAATAATTGTAGCAAATGAAATTGAGAGCCAACGAAAATTAAAACGAACAAGTGGTAATTCCCCGGAAAAAAACTCTCTTTATGATGGGGAAATTTCATGGGAAAGGGAAAGTAGGAATGTAATTTTGAAAATAGGAAGGGTGTATGCTTTACAAGGAAATGGTTTGGTTTTGTGGGTCGGTGGAAAATAGTTTTTTTTTATTTTTTTTTAATTCACGCCATCTTTAGGTGCTTAAGAATATTTTTTTTAAAACTTCGCGCCTTCTATAGGCCCCTAAAAATATATATATATATATATATATATTTTTTTTTAAAAAAAATCTAAGCCTTGTAGAGGTCCCTTAAAAATATTCCTTAAACTATTTATTTCAAAAATCCCCACCTTCAATTGTTTACATTATGTGTACAAGCCCCACCCCAATGCCACCATTTTGAGTTGACGCGAATTGTGCAAAAAAAAAAAAAATATTAATTAACAACAACACCAAAAACTGCAACAAATATAACAAAACACCATGAACATAACTTTTTTTCTGAACTTTTTAAGAAAATAAGTAAATATTGGTTTGACACAAAACGAATTGCGGAACGGATGTGAAAACAATGTCACACAACTGTGCAACTTTGAGACTGAAGTCAATTAAATAAGAAGTTTTGATAACAGTGGGGGAAAATGTCATAATGACAGTTAAAAAAAAAAATAAATAAATAAAATAAACCCCCACAAACCATAAGGGTAAGCTAACCAAGAAATATTTTTTCAAAAACTTTTAAGGATTCAAAATTCCTTCCAGTGTTCCCCAAAAAAAAAAATACCTCCTTCCTATATGAATGTGCCAACCCTGTCGTTCTCCCCCATCCATGCACCCATCTACTTTTTAATAAATATATTTAACAAATTAGCCACTGATTTTATAAACAGAAGGTCGCTGCTACTTCTTAGCCAGGAATATGAAAATAATCCTTAGAATGGGGTTGGTTGTTAACTAAGGGTGGTGCAAGCAACATCTTGCGTTTCTGGGGGGAGAGGGCGGCCCAGTACTTCTTCATCATCATCAGCGACAAACTAAACCACTTGAAATCACAATACCTCTTCAGTCATAAGGCGTGACGTGACATGTTATGCTAAAGAGAAGCATACGAGGGGTGGAAAATCACAACCCACCCCCAATTAACAGGATTAGACTAATAAATTCCATTTATTAAAAATATTTAAGCATTTATTCATATCATTTGTTGTTGTTGTTAAATAAACTTTTGATTTTAATAAACGGATATTAGTGACAGCTTGTGTTGACTTGCATTTAAGGTGACAGGTCGAAGGGGGTGACAAATTTTGACAAAAAGGGGAAAAGGCCAAGGAAAAAATATTCTTTAAAAAATACACGCCTTATATAGACCCCGAAAAAATATTCTTTAAAAAATCCACGCCTTATATAGACCCCGAAAAAATATTCTTTAAAAAATCCACGCCTTATATAGACCCCGAAAAAATATTCTTTAAAAAATCCACGCCTTATATAGACGCCTTATATAGACCCCGAAAAAATATTCTTTAAAAAATCCACGCCTTATATAGACCCCGAAAAAATATTCTTTAAAAAATCCACGCCTTATATAGACCCCGAAAAAATATTCTTTAAAAAATCCACGCCTTATATAGACCCCGAAAAAATATTCTTTAAAAAATCCACGCCTTATATAGACCCCGAAAAAATATTCTTTAAAAAATCCACGCCTTATATAGACCCCGAAAAAATATTCTTTAAAAAATCCACGCCTTATATAGACCCCGAAAAAATATTCTTTAAAAAATCCACGCCTTATATAGACCCCGAAATATTCTTTAAAAAATCCACGCCTTATATAGACCCCGAAAAAATATTCTTTAAAAAAACCACGCCTTATATAGGCCCAGAAAAAATATTCTTTAAAAAATCCACGCCTTATATAGAAAAAAATATTCTTTAAAAAATCCACGCCTTATATAGGCCTTGAAAAAATATTCTTTAAAAAATCCACGCCTTATATAGGCCTTGAAAAAATATTCTTTAAAAAATCCACGCCTTATATAGGCCTTGAAAAAATATTCTTTAAAAAATCCACGCCTTATATAGGCCTTGAAAAAATATTCTTTAAAAAATCCACGCCTTATATAGGCCTTGAAAAAATATTCTTTAATAAATCCACGCCTTATATAGGCCTTGAAAAAATATTCTTTAATAAATCCAGGCCTCTAATAGGCCTTGAAAAAATATTCTTTAAAAAATCCACGCCTTATATAGACCCCGAAAAAATATTCTTTAAAAAATCCACGCCTTATATAGACCCCGAAAAAATATTCTTTAAAAAATCCACGCCTTATATAGACCCCGAAAAAATATTCTTTAAAAAATCCACGCCTTATATAGGCCCAGGCAAAAAATATTCTTTAAAAAATCCACGCCTTATATAGGCCCAGGCAAAAAATATTCTTTAAAAAAATATTCTTTAAAAATACCACGCCTGGTACGGGTACTTGAAAAAATATTCTTTAAAAAAATATTCTTTAAAAAATCCACGCCTTATATAGGCCCAGGCAAAAAATATTCTTTAAAAAATCCACGCCTTATATAGGCCCAGGCAAAAAATATTCTTTAAAAAATCCACGCCTTATATAGGCCCAGGCAAAAAATATTCTTTAAAAAATCCACGCCTTATATAGGCCCAGGCAAAAAATATTCTTTAAAAAATCCACGCCTTATATAGGCCCAGGCAAAAAATATTCTTTAAAAAATCCACGCCTTATATAGGCCCAGGCAAAAAATATTCTTTAAAAAATCCACGCCTTATATAGACCCTTAAAAAAATATTGTAAAAAATCCGTGCCTTATTTAGGCCATTGAAAAATATGTTTATAAAATCGATTTTTTTTAGTTGGTAACAGCAATATTTTATTAAAAGAAATATCATCTCAACGACACAGAGTGCATCAAAAGAGACACGTTTATTTCATTACAATAATTTGATAACCCAAATGCCAAAAATAAATATTTCTTTTTATTTTTAACAACACTAGCCGGAGATACTAGACACTGATAAGCAATGCTACCATCAGAGATATCGGAATCGATTTTTTTTCGGGCAATGTTATATGTTTTCCACAAAAATATAAAAGGCCACATTAGTGCTACAGTCAATATCAGTTAGGCAGTAGAAATGACAATGAGAGCAATATCTGGTGAGAAATGTCAATTACAAAAAAATAACAAAGAAATTTAAAATTGTTTTACAAATATCTTCCTCCTTCTCTTCCCTTTTTTCCAGCACTTGCCTGCCTTTGGTTGGCTTTGAATTTAGCCTCGGCCGCTAAATTGGATCATCAGCTGTATGCCCGCTACCTATGCCGTCTGCATCCCGATGGTTTTCGCACCATTGTCCCGGGTAGCTGTTCGGAATACTATGAGTGTGTGAGAGGCCAGGCTCAACGTAAAAGCTGTCCACGTTATTTCAATTCACGAACGTCTCAATGTACCGATGTATCGACCGGCTGCAAAGTCATTAACGCCTCGATGAAAAATTGCAAAGGCCCTTGTTGTGGTATTACCAATGGCTTTGCTTTGGACCCGAAGAAATCTGAAATTTATTATAGATGTTATAATGATGCCGTCTACCAGAAGTTGACTTGCCCCGCAGGCAAAGTTTTCAATTTGCAGGAAAAACAATGCGCCGAACCAATGCGAACGGCAAATAGACTGGGAAAATATTCATCATCGTCGAAGAAACAGCAACAAAGAGTGAAGGGGAAGCCAATTGCTGCAGCACCAGTGCCAGCACCAGCACCTGTACCATGTACAGGGGTTCAAACGACGCCAGCACCACCGCCAGCAGTGCCTTGTACCAAAACTCAAACGACCTTGCCACCACCTACTGAAGCTCCAGTGCCATCAACGCCATGTAAGACGACAACTGTCCCCACAACAACAACTGTCGTTGTAACAAAAACACCATGCAAGACAACAACGCCAGTCCCTACAACAACAACTGTGCCCACAACAACAACTGTTGTTGCAACAAAAACACCATGCAAGACAACAACGCCAGTCCCTACAACAACAACTGTGCCCACAACAACAACTGTTGTTGTAACAAAAACACCATGCAAGACAACAACGCCAGTCCCTACAACAACAACTGTGCCCACAACAACAACTGTTGTTGTAACTAAAACACCATGCAAGACAACAACAACTGTGCCCACAACAACAACTGTTGTTGTAACAAAAACACCATGCAAGACAACAACGCCAGTCCCTACAACAACAACTGTGCCCACAACAACAACTGTTGTTGTAACAAAAACACCATGCAAGACAACAACGCCAGTCCCTACAACAACAACTGTGCCCACAACAACAACTGTTGTTGTAACAAAAACACCATGCAAGACAACAACGCCAGTCCCTACAACAACAACTGTGCCCACAACAACAACTGTTGTTGTAACAAAAACACCATGCAAGACAACAACGCCAGTCCCTACAACAACAACTGTGCCCACAACAACAACTGTCCCTACAACAACAACTGTTGTTGTAACAAAAACACCATGCAAAACAACAACGCCAGTCCCTACAACAACAACTCTTCCTACAACAACAACTGTCCCCACAACAACAACTGTTGTTGTAACAAAAACACCATGCAAGACAACAACGCCAGTCCCTACCACAACAACTGTTCCTACAACAACAACTGTCCCCACTACAACCACTGTTGTTGTAACTAAAACACCATGCAAGACAACAACACCAGTCCCAACTACAACAACAACTGTTGCTACAACAACACCGGTCCCTACAACAACAACTGTACCCACAACTGTTGTTGTAACTAAAACACCATGCAAGACAACAACACCAGTCCCTACAACAACAACTGTTCCTACAACTACAATTGTTCCCACAACAACAACTGTTGTTGTAACTAAAACACCATGCAAGACAACAACACCAGTCCCTACAACAACAACTGTGCCCACAACAACAACTGTCCCCACTACAACCACTGTTGTTGTAACTAAAACACCATGCAAGACAACAACACCAGTCCCTACAACAACAATTGTGCCCACAACAACAACTGTCCCCACTACAACCACTGTTGTTGTAACTAAAACACCATGCAAGACAACAACACCAGTCCCTACAACAACAACTGTGCCCACAACAACAACTGTCCCCACTACAACCACTGTTGTTGTTACTAAAACACCGTGCAAGACAACAACACCAGTCCCTACAACAACTGTACCGACAACAACAACTGTCCCCACTACAATCACTGTTGTTGTAACTAAAACACCGTGCAAGACAACAACACCAGTCCCTACGACAACAACTGTGCCCACAACAACAACTGTTCCCACTACAACCACTGTTGTTGTAACTAAAACACCGTGCAAGACAACAACACCAGTCCCTACTACAACAACTGTTGTTGTAACAACAACACCAGTCCCTACAACAACAACTGTCCCCACAACTGTTGTTGTAACTAAAACACCATGCAAGACAACAACGCCAGTCCCTACAACAACACCAGTCCCTACAACAACAACTGTGCCCACAACAACAACTGTCCCCACTACAACCACTGTTGTTGTAACTAAAACACCATGCAAGACAACAACACCAGTTCCTACAACAACAACTGTGCCCACAACAACTGTTCCCACTACAACCACTTTTGTTGTAACTAACACACCATGCAAGACAACAACACCAGTCCCTACTACAACAACTGTTGTTGTAACAACAACACCAGTCCCTACAACAACAACTGTCCCCACAACTGTTGTTGTAACTAAAACACCATGCAAGACAACAACGCCAGTCCCTACAACAACAACTGTGCCCACAACAACAACTGTTGTTGTAACTAAAACACCATGTAAGACAACAACACCAGTCCCTACAACAACAACTGTGCCCACAACAACAACTGTTGTTGTAACTAAAACACCATGCAAGACAACAACACCAGTCCCTACAACAACAACTGTCCCCACTACAACCACTGTTGTTGTAACTAAAACACCATGTAAGACAACAACACCAGTCCCTACAACAACAACTGTCCCCACTACAACCACTGTTGTTGTAACTAAAACACCATGCAAGACAACAACACCAGTCCCTACAACAACAACTGTGCCCACAACAACAACTGTTGTTGTAACTAAAACACCATGCAAGACAACAACACCAGTCCCTACAACAACAACTGTCCCCACTACAACCACTGTTGTTGTAACTAAAACACCATGTAAGACAACAACACCAGTCCCTACAACAACAACTGTCCCCACTACAACCACTGTTGTTGTAACTAAAACACCATGCAAGACAACAACACCAGTCGCTACAACAACAGCTGCCCCACTACGCCCAACAACACCCTGCCAATTGCCAACAACTCAACCTCCACCACCACCTGTACCCGAACCAGCACCCTGTAACGACAAAGTTCCCGCATCCGAAACTAGCGGTGTCGTCAAACCACCTCAAACCCAACCAGCCGACATCGACATGTATATGCGTTTTGTATGCCGTGACAAACCCGACAACTTCATGGTGGCATCCCTGATGAGCTGCAATCAATATTTCATGTGTAAGAACGGTGTTGCCATACCGGTTAGCTGTGGCAAGCTGTATTTCAATGCGTTGCGTGGCATTTGTGATCTGCCCGAAAATAGTGGCTGTCAACAGCCGAAGTTGAATAAGCGCCCGAAGAAGAATAAGAAAAATAAGACAAAGAGATATTGAAGAGTGTCAGACGCCCGACTTCAGGCCCAATTCCTTTTGTGAAAATAAGGATTTTTTGGGGATAATGGAATTATGAAAAAAAAACTGAATAAATATTGAATAAAGAATATGAGTAAATTGTTGTTTTATTTGATGTAATATTGAAATGAAAATCCCTGGGAAAATATTCTTTGAAAAATTCTCGATTTTTTTATAGGCTCTCAGAAAAATATTTTTAAAAATCCTTAACATATAAAAAAGGCCTTAAAAAAATATTTTTAAAAATCCTCACCATTCAAAAGACATTAAAAAATATTATAAAAAATCCTCATTTTCTAAAGGATATTGAAAAAAAATTTTTGAAACCCTCAAATTCTAAAAGATCTTGAAACAACATTTTTGAAAATCTTCACCTTTACAGGACCTTAAAAAAATATTTTTAAAAATCCTCAACTTCTAAAGGACCTTGAAAAAATATTTTTAAAAATAATAAACTTCTGAAGGACCTTAAAAAATATTTAAAAAAATACTCTTTAAAAAATGCATGCCTTATATAGGCCTTGGAAAAGTATTCTTTAAAAACACCACGCCTTATATAGGCCTTGGAAAAGTATTCTTTAAAAACACCACGCCTTATATAGGCCTTGGAAAAACTATTCTTTAAAAACTCCACATCTTATATATGGCTCTGGAAAAATATTCTTTAAAAAATCCACGCCTTATATAGATAGGCCTTGGAAAAACTATTCTTTAAAAAATCCACGCCTCTGGCTCTGGAAAAATATTCTTTAAAAACATCAATTATTTTTTGGAACTTTTGAGATTGAGATTGATATTGAAAATTGTGATTGCCCAATTTTCTTATCGGAACATCGTCGTCATTGTCATTGCCAGCTTGCGTGATAGCATCTGAAGGGTAGAACACCAAATAGAACAGATGTAATAGATAGCGAGCCACGATACAAACAAAAACAACATGAACAACAATGTTGTGCACTTACTGTCACAGAAGTGTACAACATCAGAAACATCTCGCTCTGATTGTGATGAGAAATGACCTAGACTAGCCGGGTTATCGAATTTTAATATTTATACCCTTCACCACACTGTGGTACAGGGTCTTTGTGCATATGTTTGTAACAGGCAAAAGGAAAGGAAATAGACATATGGTTCCTTTTGAGAATATGCATGGAATAAGGACCGATTTAATGTAAAATTCTGCTTCTGCTAGGAGATTTTAATGCAAAAATCGGAAGGGAAAATATATTTGGCCCCACCGTCGGAAAATTCAGCCTTCATGAAGAAACATCCGAAAACGGCATGAGGTTTATTGACATCGCGGCAGCAAAAAACATGGTAGTTAGCAGCACCAGATTCAAGCATCTCGATATACACAAGGCCACACGGATCTCTCCTGATCAAGTAACGAGGAATCAAATTGATAATGTTGTTATAGACGGAAGGCATTCATCCAGTGTTTTAGACGTCCCATCGATCCGAGGAACGAATATCTATTCGGACCATTACTTTGTGGCAGCAAAGGTACGCACCAGTCTTAAAGTAGCAGCAAAGGTGCAATCTAACACAACACGTAAACTCGACGTCGAAAAGGTGCAAACACAACAGGTAGCCGAGGCTTAGTCCGCTCAACTTACCCATCTGCTTGAAGAAAGCTCTTCTTGTTCCGATAATAATATAGAAGCACAATGGCAAAGAATTGCCCACTCCCTACAAACTGCAGCAAAAGGAACAATTGGGTACCAAAAACCACCACCACGAAACCCATGGAACGATCAGGAGTGTCGTAATGCTACATATGTGAAAAACACAGCGTATAGGACAACCCTGCAGACAGTAGCAACACGTAACGTGATGGAGAATTATCAGGAGAAAAGGAGAGAGGAGAAACGTGTTTTCAGAAAAAAAAGAAATAACAAGAAAAACGTGAGCGTGAGCAAATCGAGATGTACAGGAGTCAGAATGAAGTCCGGAAATTTTACCAACGAGTAAAACACCAAACCGAAGGCTTTGGTTCAGGCACATCCTCCTGTAGAGATGAAGAAGGAAACCTGGTGACTGATACAGACAGCGTGTTGAGGATCTGTAAGGAGCATTTCGAAAAGCTTCTACTATCAAATAGTGGCGATGAAGAAGATACCCCAGAACCAATAGGAGATGATGGTATAGGGTGTATACCACATAGCCAAGATGAGGTCATAAAACCAATTAATCGGCTCAAGAACAACAAAGCAGCAGGAGCTGATGGGTTACCAGACGAACTATTCAAGACTGGTGGCCAGATGCTGGTCAGGAGCATGCACCAGCTGATTAGCACAATTTGACTTGAAGAATGCATGCCCAATGATTGGAACCTCAGCATCCTGTGTCCCGTGCACAAAAAAGGAGACAAGACGATATGTGCCAACTATATAGGAATAAGTCTCCTTCCCATCGCATATAAACTGTTATCCAGTGTGCTGTGTGAACGATTGAAGCCAATGGTAAATAACATCATCGGACCATACCAATGCGGCTTCAGACCTGGCAAATCCACCCTTGACCAGATTTTCACTCTGCGCCAAATTCTGGAAAAGACTCACGAAAAACACATCGATACATACCACCTATTTGTCGACTATAAAGCCGCATTCGACAGCCCTATCCGTTCAGAGGTGTTTAAAGCCATGTCTGCGTTCGGCATTTATGGAAAATTAATACGGCTATGCAGGATAACTTTAAGTAACACAAGGTCACCAGTTAGAGTAGGAAAGGACCTATCGGAGCCCTTCAATACCGAACGAGGATTCAGACAAGGTGACAGTTTGTCGCGCGATCTTTTTAACATCCTTCTGGAAAAGGTCAAACGAGACGCAAAGGTGAACAGAAATGGCACTCTGTACACGAAACAACACATGTTACTCGCCTACGCCGAAGACATCGATATAATGGGTCGAACATTGCGAGCGGTAACAGCCACCTTTGAACAAATTGAAAAGTAGTCTGCCAAAGTGGGTCTGGCAGTAAACAGCGAAAGACCAAGCTGATGGTATGAACGCGCAGGACGTCCTGTAGACTTGGACCAACTGTGGAACTTGAGAACTACAGCTTCGAGGTAGTTAAAGACTTTATATACCTTGATACCGCCATAAATAAAACGAATGACATCCGGATTGAAATTCGGAGAAGGATTGTGATGGCCAACAGATGCTACCATGGTCTTAGTAAGCAGTTTTGAAAGTTTTATTGAAATCGGTTCAAATTTTGATAGAGCTACCATATAGATTTTCTCCCGATTTTAAGTAAATGATGCACCAAGAACTCAAAATGTGGCCGATATTCAGCGAAAAGTTTCGACGAAATCGACTTCGATTTCGATATAGCTTTTATAAATATTTTCGTTTGATTTTAAGTAAATGCTGCACCAAACTTCTCATGTTTATCAGATATGTGTCCACATAGTCAACGGGTGTCCGATTGATATATGCTTTAAATTGATTTACATAATTTTGTCCCATTTGTAAGAAGCAACTCTATATCTGACCAAATGAAAAATTTAGTATAGGTTGTAGAAATATATGTTTATTGGCCCAATTTCATTTTACTGGTCCTTCGAAAATACGACGTATGTTGAATATACCCAAAGTGGTGAAGGGTATCATATAGTCGGCCCCATCCGACTTTTCTACTGCCCTTACTGGTTTTTCTTGATTTCTTGAAAGGGGCAGGAAAAAATATTAAAATTCGATGACCCGTCTAGTCTGGTCTCTGGGTAACCAAAATTCCCAAATTTAGAATTTCCGTTTGCATCACATTGAAATATTCCACGGAGATCTTATGGATTAAAAGAAATTATTCTTGAGTCATCTAAGACCTCACAAAACTATTCTTTAGAAGTCTGCTTTCGATACCATTGCCCTAAAAATAGCGAAATAAAATCAAAATGTTCCCAACAAATCAAATCCAACGAAATCGATGGGGGATGCGGGAGGTGGTTTCATTTTCATTCGACATAAATCATTTAACTGATTTATATGCTTTCTGATAGTTGGTCCTGGTATTCCGCTGCTCAGTTATTTGGCTTCTCGAACAAAGACAAACCATGAAGCAGAAGAACATAAATTGAAATAAATAGCAGGAATTGTGGTTGGAGGATGGTGGGACTTAAACTATGTAGTGTGTTATACACATACATACATACATCGTATGTATATGTGTATGAGTGTGCGTGTTTATCTTCTTCGCCATTTATTGGTGGTTGGGAAAAAAACAACAACGCAAACAGAATTGTGTATTTCGATGAAACTTTTAAACAAACTTAAAAAGTTAACCACTAAACTATAACGTTTAGATACAATTAAAAGTTATTAATGACATTATATGGGTGAGATTATTTTGATATGGAACTATGCACACACACACACACGCATAAATTACAAATATATATTTTAAGGGTCTACTAAAGGCAGAGATTGGTTATGGCCTTGTGCAGCGAAATATTGGTCCTAGACCCACCTTTAAGTATACCGATCGTCATATCTCGACTAGATGAGACGATTTAGGCATGTGTGTCCTTCCGTCCGTATGTCCATTATAATTTGTAAACACGATACAGGCCACAGTTATGGACCAATCTTCACAAAATTTTGCATGTAGGATGGGTTCTGGTCAATGAAGACCCCTATTGTTATAGGAAAAGACTGATAGACCAATTTTTATGTGGACAAGGGAATCGGGTCAAAGAATAAGCATGCCTGTTTTGAGAAAGATCGGTGAATATTTAGCGAGTCAAATGGACCCTGACTTTTGTGTGAAAATTTTCAAAATTTTTATTCTGGGGCGTATCTTCTTGAAGGACATATACCCTAGAAGTTGATAGTATATCGAAGAGGAGTTGTTATACCCTTCACCACACTGTGGTACAGGGTATTATGTCTTTGTGCATATGTTTGTAACAAGCAAAAATAATCGAGATAGACCCATGGTTCCTTTTGAGAATATGCATATCATCACTTTCTGAGTCG